GTTTTGGGCTTATATTACCTGATCGAAACGACGTAGTTTAATCACCCACTCCCATGTTTTTCAATTGCTAAGGGGTAAATAACTGTTTAGGTCCTTGCTCCTTTGTAATCTCATGATTTGGTCATCGAATGAAAATATAATATTCTATTTCAAGCATTTGTTTTTCAATATTTACATTTAAGTCATCAATTTGTATATTGTGATATATTTATTTATTTTCGAATCTGATCCTAAAGTTTATTTTTTTTGTTCTGGTCACTATTTAATATGAATGTATTGAGGTATAATTATTATTTGCCCTTTCATTTTTTGTTTAATTAGTCCTTAATGTTGTTTATATATTATTTTCATTTGTAGTACCTTATTTGTTTAATATATGCGATTGTGACTTTGGTTTGTTTTTAATTTTATTTGGATCCTTCAAGTTTCAATTACTACCATTTTGATTCCTTAAATTGTCAAATATGTTTATGTGGTTATGTATACTTTTATTTGTAATGATTTCTTGTTTTGTTTTAATCCTTTATGTATATACATATTTCATATATTATGTATTTATTAAATAAATTTCATTAATCCCATTTGTAATAAATATTATGTTCTATATGTATATTATATGAATATATTCCAGTTCATGTTTATTTTTCATGAGACTCCTTTGATGATTTATTCGAATATTTTCAAGAACACTTATTCATAGAATGATCGTGGAAAATATCACTTGGTCGAAGTGGTGCGATCCGATGCGACATTTTAACGAAATGGAAACTTGAAATAAATCTAGTTTATTTTACTAATTAAATCTTTTTTATTTAAATTATTCAATGCGTTTTTATATAGTAATTTATTCTATGCAAAGGTCGATAGTCAATTTATATTTGATTCACGTTTTTATATCGATGAGAGAATATTCTTTTGGTTAAGAAATAAGAAGAGATATCATTCCCGTCGGAGGATGAGTAAATCTCGATATTTCTTTTCGGATTAAAAGATTTTTCTTAATAATTAATTCGAAGCAAATTATTTAATTTTAATAAATGGATCATATTCTAACTTTATATTCTATTTATACTTTCCACCATTTACGACAACGCATAAGAGATTAAGTACCAATTTTGGTCGCTGTGAGGGTGTTAATCATTCCCAACGCGTAATCAATTCCTGGACCCGTTAAATCAATTTTTGGTAAACGCATACCAATTTTTGTCTTGAAAAAATGTTTTTCCTAAAATTATTTTAAAAGACGTTTTAGGTATTCGATCTACCTAATCTAAAAGTCGATGGCGACTCCTATTCAATTTAATTCAAATTAACTCAAAATCTCCAATTTTTTAAATAAAATCATAATTGTTTTTTAAACTTAATTGTTAAAAAATGGTTATGCAACTTGTAATTCAGTTATTCTTCTTTTTCCACCACAAATTTCACCATATCAGCCATTGATAGGTCACCATCGCCCTCAGAATCGGACTCAGAAAAGGCAGTTTGTTTAGAGGCTCTCGTCCTTTTATGAGATTGAGGCATTGAAGTTAGGGATTCTGATTTCCGAGTTAAAACCTGATTCTTTTGTAACTTCAGCCTCTTCAGGATTCGCATCCCCACTTGGCTTAGCATGATCTTCACCATTATTCTCTACAGTACTCCCGTGTTCCTTTCCGGAAGGCTCGGGAGAAGCCGATGAAGAGATCCCGAATCGTCGAAATGCGGAGAAATTCAGGTTTGAATACTGCAGCTTAACTACATCATTTGTGATCACCTGCACAGACAAAGTGCATGCGATTTTTATGAACTTGGTTATGTTTTCTAGAATCAAAATATGAGTTTAAGATCGAAATTTCAGCATAACCATTCAGTACCCACTAAAAAATGAACCTTAAAGCCAAACAAGACCCTGATCAAATGAATCTGTAAATTGAAATCGCAGCTTATAAATCATTAATGTAATGACTACATCAAGGCAATTAATAAAAAGTTAAAAAAATGATCAAACGAATATGAAACAGGTAGATCAAATCTAAAGACTACAAAAAAAGAACCCACTTCACATAAATTTAAGCACTTCGGACCAAAGAACTTAGAGAACTTCAACATGGTGAAACAAAGATAAAGAATGAAAAAACGAGCAAATGAAAGAAGTCATCAAAATTGAGCCAATTTAAACATAATCCTTAAACCCTATCAAAGTCGTCTTAAATTAATTTAAAAAAACAAAAAACAAAGGTTTTATTGTTTTACCCTATCAAACTGAGGGGGAAAGGTTGGCGTTTGAACGCTCTTGGGAGCAGACAGAAGTAAGGAGCGTGCGCCGATGCTCCTTGAGACGCGTGACAAATCCCTCGATATCAACATATTTTAGGGGACGTTTGGTTCAGAGTATCCATTCTCCCGTTTGGTTGACAAATATTCCTAGTCCGGTAATAAATTATTACAAACAGCGGTATTTTGGGGTATATTACCGTGAATGTGATTATTCATTATCTTAGGTATTGTTACATTCCCGGCGTTTTGACTAAAATGCTCTTAATTTTTTTTTCAAAAACATCTATCTTCTGCCGTTGAATAAAAAAAATTTACGAAGGTTAAATTGTAAATTTATCCTTAAACTATTTTAGATTTACAAAAAAAAGTTCATAATTAAAATTTTATATGAAGTTCAGGGATTAAAATAAAATTTTCCCTTTCATTAAACCTATTTATCTTTTCAATTTTGTAAAAAAAATTATATAAATTTTATGAATTTAAATTTTTTAAAGAAAATATATAAATTAATTATAGTAATATTATAGTAGAATTCAACTTGTTAAAAAAATAAATATATAATAAGGACAATTTGGTAAAATATACATTCTAATAATATTTTATTTTTTTAACCAAACTCTGTAATCTTACATTCCTACTAAACGAACCAAACACAAAATACAACAACAACAACAACAAAACCCAATTCCCATATGCAATGGGGTAAGGGGGAGGTAGGGTAGTAGGCTGCCCCAACGCCAGGTTGAGAGTAGCTTCCGTGGAAGACCTCCGGCAGTCAGAAAATTAAAAATATAGATAAAATGTAATGCATGTATAAATAAATACATAAATACATAGTTGAACAGTATTCATATGCAGACATTAATATCATTAATATCATATGCGCGTTTGTACTTGGGCAGTAATCCCTGCAAATAAATCCATACGAAAAAATCTCTGCATATAGACAGAAACGTAAGACCCGACTAAATTTAAAAGTGAAGAGAATGTTACACAGAAGTCAACGAAAGCAAGCCCAGTTCTAAGCCTTCATAAATACCAATAACATAAACGTATAAAAAGTAGAAGTTACCCACACTACTCGACTACCCTAGTTTTGAGTCTCCATACTTTCCTATCAGAGGTCATGTCCTCGGTAAGGGCTAAATCCATCAAATCAGATCTCAAGCAGTCTTCCCACTTCCGCCTTGGTCGTCCTCGCCTTCTGGCACCGTCGACTGTAATCGACTCTACCCTCCTGACCGCATCCGACGGTAGTCGCCTAAGGACATGCCCAAACCACCGTAGTCTTCCCTCCTTCAATTTTTCAGAAACAGGCACCACCCCCAAGGACATCCTAATAGCAGAGTTTGTTGTCATATCCCACAGAGTCCTACCGCATGTCCATCGAAGCATTCTCATTTCTACGGCCTCTATCCTCCTTACATGATCCTTCTTGGTTGCCCAACATTATGATCTATACAGCAGTGCTGGTCTTATTGCCATTCTATAAAATTTTCCCTTAAGTTTTAGAGGCACCTTCTTGTCACACAAAACTCCAGTAGCGGCCCTCCACTTTAGTCATCCCGCCTTTATACGGTGTGTAACATCATCTTCTACACCCCCATCTTTATGTATCATAGACCCTAGGTACTTGAAACAATCCTTTGAGGGGAGAACGTGTCCTTCTATGCATACTTCTACATCTTCATCGTTTTGGTCCCTACTGAAGTTTGAACATAAATACTCTGTCTTTTCAATATTGATCCTTAGACCTTTTTTCTTCCAAAGCAGTCTTCCAGGTAGCCAGTCTACTATTCAACTCAGATTTTGTTTCAGCAACTAGGACAATTTCGTCAGCGAAAAGCATACACCATGGTACACCGTCAGGTGTCACACAATAGATGTCGTCCATAATCAAGGCGAAGATGTAAGGGCTAAGAGCTGACCCCTGGCGGAGTCCGATTTCCATTGGGAATGCCTCGGTGTCGCCAACTGTAGTCCTGACGTGTGTAGTAGATCTACAATACATATCACGAATCGCCCGGATATAAGCAGTTGGGATCCGTCTCATTTCCAAAGTCTTCCAGATCGTATCTCAGGGAACGCTATCATAAGCCTTCGCAAGGTCAATGAATGCTATGTGAAGATCTCTAGACTTTTCCCTATATTTCTCCATAAGTCGTCGAAGTAGATGAATCGCCTCCGTAGTAGACCTGCCTGGCATAAATCCAAATTGGTTTTCTGAAACCCTAGTAACTTGTCTCAACCTAACCTCTATCACCCTTTCCCATAGCTTTATGGTATGACTGAGTAGTTTAATACCTCTGTAGTTACCACAACGTTGGGGATCTCCTTTATTCTTATAGATTGGTATCACCGTGGACTCTCTCCACTCCTCTGGCATCTTGGCAGTCTCTAAAATAATATTAAAGATGTTGGTCAACCACTTAACTCCCTCTTCTCCTAGGGCCAACCACACAGTGATAGGAATTTGATCAGGACCGACAGCTTTGTCCCTTCCCATCTTTCTAGGAGCTATTTTGACTTCCTCAAACCCAATCCTACTTGTAGGGCAGTCATTGGCCGTAGTATGATGGTCGGCTGACCCATCAACGGTACTATCTCTACAGGGAGAGGCACCGTCATTAATAAGCCAAAGAAGTAACTACCCCAAACCATCTTAATATCATGATCTTTCGCTAAAAGGACACCATTGTTGTCCTTAATAAACCTAATGCTACCTAGATCCTTTTTCTTATTCTCCCTAGATTTTGCAAGCCTAAATATGTCGTTTTGTCCATCTTTGGTGTCTAATCTCTTGTACATTTCCTCGTATGCCTTATCCTTTGCTTTAGCCACCGTTTTCTTGGCTTCCCGCTTTGCCTCCTTGTATCTTTGTTTAGCTCTCGACATTTCTTCATCGTCATTGCATTGTAGAAACTCCTTGAAGCAAGTTTGCTTTGTCTTCACCTTAGTTTGGACTTCGTCGTTCCACCACCACGATTCTTTATGTTCCTTGGCCTTCCCTGTCGACAACCCCAGGGTGTTTTTGCCCATTTCTCTGATGGAATTTGCCATATTTTTCCATAACAAATCTGCATTATTTGAGTTTGTAGTTCCAAAACCTGTATTAGACAAAACCTTACTCCTAAAGTCATCAGTTGTCGCTCCATGTAACTTCTTCCAAAGGATCCTAGGTTTACCCAGTTTAGCCCTCCTATGAGTGCTCCGCCCATGTGGTACGCGAAACACCAAAACCAACAATTTGTGTTACGATGTGCATGCCTCTTCAGGGGACACCTTACAGTCAATGCAAGCCCATCGATCCCGATTTCGAACCAGGATGTAGTTGATTTGGGTACAATGTCCCCCGCTATGAAACGTAATCAAGTTCGCATCTCTCTTATTAAATAAGGAGTTAGTGACCACCAAATCGTGTGCAGTAGCGAATTCAAGCAACGTACGTCCCTCATCGTTCCTGCTACCATAACCGAAACCCCCATGAACACCGTCAAACCCGTCAGTTGCACTACCTATATGGCCATTGAAGTCTCCCCCTATGAAAACTCTTTGGTCCTCCGGAATGCTCCTAAGTACATCATCTAACTGATCCCAGAAGCAACGTTTCTCCCCCTCCCCTAGGCCAACGTGTGGGGCGTACACTGAAAGGACATTCACCACTTCCTCTTCTATAATAACCTTAATCATCATGATCCTATCCCGGTATCTACAAACTTCAACTACATTTTCCTTGAGCCTAGAGGATACCAAGATACCCACCCCATTTCTAGCTTTATCTACGCCTGAATACCACAACTTGTACCCATTACACTATCTGGCGCGAGCCCCTTTCCACCTAGTCTCTTAAAAACATGCAAAATCTATTTTCCTATTATTAAGTACGTCGGTCAGCTCTAGCATCCTAGCATTTAATGTGCCTACATTCAACGAGCAAACTCTAAGTCTAGTCTCCTTGTCACCACTATATCGAGCCCTCCCCCTATACGCCCCATGGGCTCTAAAAGACGGGCATGACCTCAAGTAATCATCTATAGTCGAAGCTATGAGAAACTATGAAAAATGAAACCAAAGAAGACAGAAGATGCACCAGAAAAACGCTAGAGAATTGAGGGGTACTAAAAAGCCTAGTTGGTTACTAAGTACGATTTTAATTTATTGCTAGTAAGTTTATTAACAATTATAAGATAAATTGTGTAATTAGGTTAATAATAATAATAAGTAAGTTTATTAACAATTATAAGGTTCAAACAAAGATCAACTGGAATAAAATATACGGGGGAAACAATATTAAAAGTACCTGATTCGTGGGTGATTTGAGCTTAAAAGAGAGAGCAAGCGAGAGAGAGAGAGAGGTCTAAGAGTTTACTTTTCAACTCTGGGTAATATCTTAAAAATCCAGAGACAGTTCTCAAGAGTAATGAACGAATCAAAAACAACTGGATCACCTAATTAACACATAAATATCACTGATCCATTCAAAATAGACCAAAATAAAAAGTCTTAAATCTCTACAAAACAAATTTAAACTATGAAGGCAAGCCGATCTAAAAGATTCACATACAACGGACAGATTTAGTAAGAGAAAGCGAGGAAAGAATATACTCAGACAAAAATAAAATAAAAGTAAAGAATAAACCCCCAAAAAGAGAGATCTTTTAGCTGGAAGCTGAAGAACACAAGTAGATCAACCACTTGTTTAGCAGTGACTGGAATATGGGTGTTAAAGGGATCGATGGTTCTCGGTCGAGCACAGGGGAGATGGGGAGAGATCAGAAAAACTGTAAAATTGCACAATAACCCAACAAACAAGTCGAGATTATAAACAAAGAAAACGCCCAAACACAAAATACAACATTCCTAGTAATCTTATTCTCGCCGGTAATCGTATTTTCGCTGGTAATCTTATATTCCGTGAACCAAACACACCATTAAGGAGTGGGAGGAAGGAAGAAGAAGGTTTAGGGTTTTAGAGGGTCAAAAGGGAGAAAATTGAAGATATATATTATTGGGTTTTTTCTAGAAAAAAATATTAAGGAGGTAAGAAATTTTTAGAGCGAAAGAATGGGCATTATTATATAAAAAACCACAAAAATTATTATTTTTTAAATATCTCCTAAACCAGATTTATTAGAAAAATACTAACGACCACGTAGAATTAACTCGTGTATTATAAAACACGTTTAATGTGAGACATATCAATTTTTTCAAATAAAATCATTTAATTTTATATAAAAAATAATAAATGCATGAAACTCATTTTTATAAAATATGATATTAGATCTAATTTTTTTACAAAACCTGAGATCATCCCACGAGGATAATTTGAGGTATTTTTCTAAACAATCTGATTTGGAAGATATTTCTCAAAAAAATTTGGGTTTTTTATATATATAATAACGCCTAAAGAAGGTGCGTTCATGTTTTTATTTATTGGTTGATGGGATAATCCTTTGAGACGACACCGTTTCACTAATTGGATTAGTGAATTTGAATATTCCTTGAGGGTATTATTGTCTGGTCGTAGTATTACGTGCTCTCATAAGCATGGTTTTCAGAATCAGATCGGTTAGCGAACCGATCATGCTACCGGTTCACTGGTTCAACCGGTCGGAAGAATCGGACGACGTCATAATTATTTAAAAAATTAAATAAAAATACCAAAAGTATTTAAAAAAAATAATTTTTTATATCACAAGTCATATTCAAAGCAAGTCATAATATATATAAGTTAAAAACCATAAAATCAAGTGAAACAAAATGATTCAAATTAACTATAACATAATTTTTAAGGTAAAACATATTAAATAATAAATATAATTATATAACTATAATTAAAAAATAAATTTAGGGCTAAAAAAATCATAACAAAATGATATTGTTTGGTTTAATTTTTTTAAAAACAATCACACATGGCTAAGAAACATAGAAGAGCATCCCAAAAGTCTAAAGAGTAAAAATATGAAAACAAAACAATCATATATGACTAAGAAACATAGAAGAACATCCCAACTAACTTCTATAAATAATAGAGGTAATTTGACATTCAAAATCATGGAGCCTTTTGGTGAGCATTTAGTGAACTATTATTTCACTTCAATCAAGCTTGAATTTTAGGCTTCAATCGAGCTTCTAAATTTTTTTTGAGTTCAAGCCTTTTCGAGTTCAAGTTTCAATATTATATTTCGAGTTCGAGTTGAACTTGATAATTTTTAGCTCGTGAGTTTGAGTCGAGTGGAGCTTACTTTTAAAGTTTTCAAGTTCGAGTCGAGATCAGCAATACTCGAGTTCGACTTGGCTCGTTTAACAAACGACGTCGTTTGGTTTAATTTAAAAAAAAACAAAATTAGCGGTTTTTTCTGGTTTTTTTTTAATTTTCAGCCGGTCCGGTTCAAACAGTTAAGCGGTTCCGGCCGGTTCACTATAGCGGTTCAACCGGTGTAGATTGAACCGGACTAAGTAACAATTCCCGGTTGAACCAGTCGATCCGGTCCGGTTTTCAAAACACTGCTGATAAGGATATATTATGAGTTATAAAGATATAATTTTTTACGACTGATAAATATGATGTACTATTAATGGATCAAAATAAATCTGTTATCTATCAAGAGATTAAGAGAGATTTAAAATCTAAAAAATGAATAAAAGTCATGAAATCTAAAATATAATTAATGTTTGATAATAACGTATGGACCTTGATTGCGCCATCCGAAGGTACAAAGACCATTAGGTGCAAATATATTTTTCATGAAGAAAATTATATCGACATAGAGGATAATATACATATTTTATCGAGGAATACTAGTTGCACAAGATTTCTGTTTTTTTTTGGGATAAATTTAGGGAAAATACAAAATAATATTTGTTAAAATATTTTCAATCAATTGACAATGGACGCTCATACACTAATCGATGTTCGACCCGAGACCACTAGAAAAAATGACAATTTTTTAACTACTGAGTCATGTCGCACACAATTTTAAACAAATTAATAAGAGGGATTATGATAAAAAAATTACTTGTAGTTGTATTTATTATTGTCATTTTTGTACAATATGACTATAAATTTAATGAATGGATGTAAAAATTGAATTTCTTAATGAAAATTTATTTAAAAATATGAACATGCCACAGTCCGAAAGTTTTAACAACCAGACAATTCTGGTGAAGTATGCAGTCTTCAAAAATTCAGTTATGGTTTGAGGTAGATTTCTCATTGTTGGAATATTTATTTTGATATATCTACCAAAGAGTTCAAATTTATATATAAAAAAATAAGATCTTATGTTATGTCGTGTATTAGATTAGATGTCTCTTATACTTTAAGCATAATGAGTAAGTAGGTATCGATGTGTTACTAAATAACTGTGAAATATATTTTCAAAATACAAGGTGATCTAATTATAAATTATTACATAGAGAAAAATCAGAGAATTTTTTATCTCGATTTTGTTTAAATGATAGTGCTATCATCTGATAAAGTTTAAAGGAAACCATTACTACGGATTCTACTAATGAACATTTTGGGTAGAAATATTCATTATTGATCTTTGAGCGGTTCCTAGCATTACAAACCTTGTTGATGTTTATTGTAATAAGAATGGTGCTGTTGTACACGTAGATCACATTAGTGGTTCAAATACATTTTAAAGTATTATCTCATTTGATAAGAAAGGTGATACTAAGATATGCAAATTTCCAACAAACGATCGTGTTTTTAATTGGCTAAGTCTATATCACAAACAAAAGGATAATAGTCATGCTAAGTTAATAGAAATTAGTAACATTGACGTGCGTACCTAATACAAGTGAGAGATTATTAATAATACTATTATCGTATTATACTCCTTCTGTCCCATTAAATATTTTAGGTCATACTTTTATAATTTTGACTTTATTATTATTTAAAATATGTTATTTGATAAAAATACAAAAATATATTTTAAAAATCTTCAATCAAGTGGTTTTCAAATACATATTTTATAAAATTTAATTATTTAAAATAGTCATAGTTAAAGTTTAAAAATTGACTTTTAAAAAGTCAGTAAGGGACAGTTATTTTGGGATGAAAGTAATAATATTTTTATTATTATGAAAATTAATTTTTTTATTAATCTATGGTAATTATGACTACGAGTGGTATTATATTTTTTAAAAATTCTAAATTATTTGATAATGAATGCTCAAATATCATCTACAGTCGTTGGTACTTAAACTATTGACTTCAACAAATAACAACCAACTCTTTAGTCATTGAGGTCATTTGATTCATGCTATGAAAATCAAACTTATTAGAATCATAATTAGCGTGTTTTTATATGATAATACCGTTGAATAATGTTGTATATTATTCTAAATGTTCCTAATCAATCATTGTTGAGAAAATAACAATGAAGTAAGATTAACATGAACTTTAGTTGGTATTCATGAGATAAATATGTTTATAGGATACAAATCGAATATTTGTTGAGAATAAATATTAGATCATCTTATTTTGAGATTAATACATTGATCAAAATCATAAATTAATCTCTAACAACTATACCATTAAACCCTTAAACCTAAAATCATTATAGTTCTCAACATAAATAACATTGTGTACATAATAAACATTATCTTATGAACATTATATTTGAGTCCCAAAAATAAATGCTCTGAAAATAATGAACAAACAATCTGATGAAAATTTAAACAGAGGAAGAAAGATGAATGAAGAAAAAAGCCAGTGGTACCATACA